CATCCTTCTCCCATATGCTCTTCCAGTATTGCTCCGTCTCCAGCCTTGGTGGTGCTGTTCTCTTATTGTTCCCTTGCCACTGAGAGTACACCTTTGCTGGTTCTGTGGAGAACAGCTGGTTTATTCTCCTGCCTTCTATCTCTCTGGTGTACCTCCTCAAGCGGCTGGCCAAGGCTGTGAGTCTTTGCTTGGCAGTTTCCAAGGCCTCAGGTATGGACAGCTTGCTGTATTTCTTAGGCACCTTATTTGTCGCACCTTTCTGCAACTCCGTTAGTTGGCTAACCTCCCTCCGTGCTACTTTGATCTTGCCCTCTAGCCTCCTTCTCCATGGAGGGTACTGCCCCTTGTCGCTGTTCAACTTGTAGCCAAGCATCTCACTGATCACTGTTGCCGTATTGTAGATCAGCTTGTTAGTGTCGGTAATCGTGGTTGTAGGTATTGCCCGTAGTGCTGCATTAACATCATCTAGCAGACCTTCTGAGGGAACTTCACGTAATCTTGGTAACCGGCTACGCGGGATCCAGGTTTCAAGCTTGGCCATGATCCTATTTTTCAGGTCAGTTCCTCTCGCACTCAATGATCCTTCTCCTATCGCACTTGGGGCTATGTACCCAATCTCGGGTGGGGGTGATGATATCTCCCCCCTGACCTGGCGTCCTGACTCCTCCTTGCCGTAGCATTTGTGTTGTACCTCGTCAATCTCTAGCTGTGAGAGCAGTCCCTTCTTTCGAATGTTGGAACACTGAGCTACTAGTTGTTTCGCCGTAATTGTGGATGTTGGGTATCGAAGAATCCATAGGTCCCTCATCCTATTCATGTAGCCCCTTCCGCCGGGGTTACTTGCATAGTAGCATTCCAACAACGCCCTGTTTTCGTCTCTTGCCCACCGATGCCTTCTTGTTCCAGTAGCCCACTTTTCGTCAGGGTGCCCTGGTTCCTCAACACCTGACGCGGACCTTGTTGATCCGGGCGACGTCCGAGCCGGCATGCCTTCATATTTATCTGTCTCGCTCATGTCTGCGGTAGGCTTGCTTAGCATAGGGGGTCTAGCCTTAGGACCCTTACTGGATACAGACGCCCCAGGCAGGAATCGAACTTATAAACGCAACACCTTTGTTACTGCTCCCATTCCCCATGGGATGGACGTAGAGACCTAAAATTCATTCCAGATACACAATATAACCATCCCTCCCAAACAGTGGTCACAAATCAGTCCAAATGTGTGGTAGTGGGCACATCTGCTATATTGAGATAATCCATCCCACCTCACAGGTGTGCCACATCAGGATGCTGATCTGACATCATGAGTAGTGCACAGGTGTACCTCAGACTGCCCACAACAAAAGGCCACCCTGGAATGTGCAGTTTTGTCTCACAGCAAAATGCCACAGATGCCACAAGCAATGAGGGAGCGTGCAATTGGCATGCTGACAGCAGGAATGTCAACCAGATCTGTCGCCCGTGCATTGAATGTTCATTTCTCAACCATAAGCCGTCTCCACAGGCGTTTCAGAGAATATGGCAGCACATCCAACCGGCCTCACAACCGCAGACCTCGTGTAACCACACCAGCCCAGGACCTCCACATCCAGCAGGTTCACCTCCAAGATCGTCTGAGACCAGCCACCCAGACAGCTGCTGGAACAATTGGTTTGCACAACCAAACAATTTCTGCACAAACTGTCAGAAACCGTCTCAGGGACGCTCAACTGCATGCCCGTCATCCTCATCGGGGTCTTGACCTGACTCCAGCTCGTCGCCGTAACAGACTTGTGTGGGCAAATGCTCACATTCGATGGCGTCTGGCACGTTGGAGAGGTGTGCGCTTCACAGATGAATCATGGTTCACATTGTTCAGGGCAGATGGCAGCTGAGAATGTCCCAGTTCTTGCATGGCCAGCATACTCACCGGACATGTCACCCATTGAGCATGTTCGGGATGTGCTTGACCGGCGTATACGACAGCGTGTACCAGTTCCCACGAATATCCAACAACCTCGCACAGCCATTGAAGTGGAGTGGACCAACATTCCACAGGCCACAATTGACAATCTGATAGACTCCATGCGACGATGTGTTGCACTGCATGAGGCAAATGGTGGTCACACCAGATACTGACCGGTTCTGGGTCCCCAGACCCCCAATAGCGCAAAAAACTGCACATTCCAGGGTGGCCTTTTGTTGTGGGCAGTCTGAGGTACACCTGTGCACTACTCATGATGTCAGATCAGCATCCTGATGTGGCACACCTGTGAGGTGGGATGGATTATCTCAATATAGCAGATGTGCCCACTACCACACATTTGGACTGATTTGTGACCACTGTTTGGGAGGGATGGTTATATTGTGTATCTGGAATGAATTTTAGGTCTCTACGTCCATCCCATGGGGAATGGGAGCAGTAACAAAGGTGTTGCGTTTATATTTTTGTTGAGTGTATATATATATATATATATATACTTTGACTGACCACATTTTAACCCCAGTGTGTAACATGCAATATATAAAATACACAAGGCATCCTAGGTTCAATATTTTTGTTGTAAAAATAAAAATTCAAGTATGAATTCAGAGGTTTGACGCGCACGGTCTATGGATTTTTCCCCTCCTGAAAGGTCCACACACACCCCAGGCAATCTAATACTTGTGTTACCTAGACTCCCGAGCTGAGAAAAGCGCTCCCAAAGGGGGTGTTCAGCTTACAAGCCCGAGTTTCATTACTCAGCAGTATCTTTTTTCCCCACGGCAGCTATTGACCCAAATGTTTCTTTAGGACAGTTTTCAAAGCAAAAAAAAATAAAAAAAGAAGAAAGAGTTGTTGCTTAATCCTTCAGCCATGTGCTGCTGCTGTAGAGCCTGTACTTTGCAGTTTTGGTAAAAAAAAAATCCAAAAAAAAAATCACGTGTTTGCATTATAAATAGTAGTCACAAGCTGTTTAAAAATGTAATTACTGTGAGGTTGAGGGCGAATAAAGAAGCCATTGAAAAAACCAGTGAAAAAGAAGCCAGTGAAAAAGAAGCCATTGAAAAAGCTGCATGAGGAGGTTTTTTTTGGGGGGGATTAAACACCAAGTTGTTGTGCTCTATAAAACTGCAGCATGTCATGGTTCTTTCTGCCTGCAAAATCAGTTTTTTCTTTTTGGCATTGGAATATTGTTGTTCCTGTTTTTGATAGCACATTAGCCTCCGACATGTCTCTGTGGAATACTTTCATCTGAATGTTCACTTTGGATTATTGTGTCCGTGAATGGTTTGCTCCTCATTCTCACACGAGTTCTAGGAATGTGGCCGAACAATGTGGTGTGTGGTTAAACCGGATGACCACACTTCATTGTTCTTATATTTCGAGAGTCAAGCTCTTATCAGCATGGTATTTGCACATTTGTGAGTTCAGGCCTTGCATTTCCAGCGCCTGGATGGGATGTACTATATACCAAATTTCATGGTGAGTTCCAGGATCTTTATGTTGTCTGACTGCAGTGTTTCCATGCATGAAATGAAGGAGGTTTATGTTCCTTGTCCCCAAACATAATAGATGGTACTTAAATGGTTTCACTGAGTTGCAGCGTGTTCCGGGTTTGAATCTCCTGGTTCTCATTTGTTTGGACTTTGTTTGACTTCAGCTTCTCCCGGTGTGCGTTTCCTGTAGTTGCTCCACAGTCCAAAGACATGTAAGCGTCACTAGCTGTAGGTATGGATGCGGACCCTGGGACCTAGGGCTATGGAAGGAAGAGGAGAAGTCTCTTTGTTTTTATAGAATTATTACCTTTATGTCAAAAAACAAAATTATTTCTCCTAATTGTGACCTCATATTCTTATAGTTATGACCTAGTGTATCAGAACTTTTTGTTTCATCAGGAGAGCTCGTAACAGCGATTTCGTGTCTTGTAATTATGACTTTCTGTTGCATAATATTGAAATCCTTATTTGACTTGAATGTACTATGTGACAAATAAGAGACACAATATAGTCATGCTTTTACAATGCCTTTTTAGTATTATCACTTTATAATCTTTATAAGTAGATTCTGAATATGAATATACTAGGGGGTTAGGGTTAATACAATGAGTATTAAAAAAAGAGTTTGCAAGAAGTCAGATGTAGCTCTGGGTCCTTAGAAGAGATCAAATAAACCAGATTAAACTCAAGCGGTAATGCCAACTAGGATAACAATGTAACATAACTAACCAACTACTTAATAGACCCAAATCTAAAGTACCCAAAACTGACCTAGAAAAGCAAGAGACACAGGGAGGGGAGCTAGCAAATTATCTAATAAACGAGAAAACCCCCAATTGGTTCACTAGTGATTTGAATGCTGAATAAAAATATAAAATAGCCAGTGCACCTGCTATCCCACAGCGTACAGGAGTTGGGCGCATTTTACCGACTGTGTCCGATTCGAATGCAGAGAAGTGAACTTAGTGATCGAAGACCTGAATTTCACTGCTTTGAACTTTGAACTTCTAAGTGTCAAACATGTGGATGCAGTTGGAAGTCAGACTTTAAACACCTGTAATCACATCTATGAGTGATGCCACCAGTTCCTGGAGTACACCTGTGCTTCACTGGAGCAAAATGAAAAATGAAGCTGCTTGTGCCACGATACAGTTTTGCAGTGTTTTACGCGGTTGTCGAATTTACTGTAGAATATAATGTTGGCGGTATGTTTGTGCATTTGTTGTGTATTTCACAGCCCTTGTTCTTCCCCATAAATTCTTTATTTAAAATCGATTCATACTGTAGAGCAGCTTGCTGGTTAATACACCTTTTAAGGAAGAAAAAGGTGTTTCATCTAAACCCCCACCCCCTTTTTTGAGGAAGAGTTATTTCTGTAAGTTAATCAAGCGTAATAAATTGTTATCACCATCCTCATGAAACTGTTCATGCTCTTATTAAGACAGGACAGTAGAGAGATCAGTCATTGCCGTCTGTGTGTCTCAATTATGCAGTAATACCAGCTTATACACATGCAGCGTTATTTGTTCTTTTATCTGCAGTGTGGCTGATCTCAGATATGGAGAGGGAGGGAAGAACTCAAGGTTAATCATTTCTCAGTTCTGTTATCACAGTTCTGTCTGGGAAATGTTTGGGGAGTATTCTCTTTGTATGCACTGGATACGTTGCCTGAATGCTGGGTAAGTATATGCCCACAGTCATACTTTTTGTTAAAAACTTTGTACCATTTCTGACTTACATGTATCCACGGTGGGCTTTGATATTTTGACTATATTCACAACACCATGGCTTGTGTTGTTTTACCAAACTTTGTTTAACAGAGCTGAACAAGTCCAGTAAAGTTGTCCTTGTCGAGTCATCTTTGCTAGATTGCTACATTGCTGTGTGTTATTGTGCAAAGAAAGTGGCTTACACATGTCCCCTTTTTAGTCACTTTTCTGTTATATATAAGACAGCATAACTTTATTTATTGACAACAGTTGTTTTTTTTTTATCTGGGTATAGGATGTACCACATACAAAAATCGTGGAGCAAGGTGCATATCTTCGAAAGCCACTTTTCAACACTACATGGGGTCTGGGTTTTATAAGCCGGAGAAAGATTTTGCTTTGATGAGGTGGTGTTTCACCTACAGCACTGCACTAATTGAGAGTTATGGTGTAGAATCTCAGACTAACACCCTAACAGTCACACTGCTAAGGGTCACTATGTGGATATGTTTTTGCTTGTTATCTGCTGGGTGGCTTCCAACACTGCAGAACATCAAACAGTTTGAAGTCCTTGTATAAACTGCTTCAACCAACTAAAAACGTCTTCTGAAACAAGGCGGACTCGTTTGATGCTTGAACGAGCACATTTCCCATTGCAGATATAGTCACCTCATGAATTTTGTCTTATGCCTGATGAAACTTTCAAGCGTTAGCCTTCACAGCCATTTATTGTTGAAGAAATACACCGTAAAACATAAATCATCCACTCAGGCTGGCAATAAAATTAATCACATTTATTACTTTATAGCTTCTAATTTGACCTCCTGATCAAACAGCTGATTTAATTAAAAAGTTGCAGTGATCCTTTGCGTAAAATTAGGAAGGTAAAACAAGAACAATCTGATTTGTCACACGTCTTCTTAAGAATTCAATCCACAGCTGTGGGTTTTGATACTGCTCCCTGTGACTCAGAGTCCTGCTGGCTTTCATTTGCATCCAGTCAGAGACTAATTTACTTTTCAGAAACTGTCTGAATGCAAAATGTAATTAACCTTGAAGTCAGAGAGGACTGCTATACAATATCAACTTCTATCAGTACTGCATGAATTACTTCTTTCTGGTTTTGTCTTTGGTTTGTTCAGAATCCCCAAAAAGCTTCATAAAAAGTACAGTTCTCCTTCTTCCCCTTTCACCACCGTGTAACCTGTGGTGGATAAAACTTCCTGTAATTTTTTATTTAACCCTACCAGTTTTCCACTGCCCAGCGATTGCCTGCTGCTGTTCTAGTAACCACTAGGTGGCAGACTGAGTCTTTGATCAGTCAGCTGGTCTAGCAGTAGAAAACGACATTAAAGTGTACTTTAAATCAAGACCAGTATTCCCCCTGTTGTTGAGCAACTGGGTAAAATCCCCTCAAAACTTCAAGCTGGGGGTAACATTTCACACTTTTGCAAGCCAGGAAGCCAGTTTGCTTTCTGGCTTGCAAAGATGTTCTGCATGTCCGTACAAAGAGGTCATTTCCTTTTCAGCACGTTTCACTTAGTTTTCGGTTCCTCCTCATCCTCGTTGTGAAATGTGTCCCGTCTCCTTTCCATATACACAACGTATCTCACGTGATATAACATGGCCTTCTCATTTAAGGTCGCTGAAACGTGAACATGGACGAACAAAAGGATGATCAGATTGACCAAGATGACAGCACTAACAACTCTGAAAAGGAGGTTAGTCAGATTAAGGCACTGATTCTTACGTACTTCTTTGTGTTGTTCTGGCATGAAAAATGTTATAATATAGACAATCATGTCTTTGCTTTATGGAGGAACAGCCCTGCCCTAATAGTACTATATAGACCTCTGGTTTCCCTGTTATTTGGCTACTATGTCATACATTAACCCGTTATGTTATCCGTGGACATTACACAGCTGTGAAGATACTGCACCTCAGTAAATATGTAAATATGTAAATATGTACTGAAACACACACATTTCAAGCTTTTCCCCTAAAACCTGCTGCTGAAACTTGGAACCCCACTTTTTGATCTAAAATGACATCAGCTTTAGTGGTAACCTTCTTCAGATAAAAACTAAAATTATGTTGCAATATAATCTGTCAGTGGATCTGCATATTTCATTACTTATTTTTTGGCCAGTCCACTTCTGCAGAAACAGTGTTATGTCTAAAATACATAGATTTGTGTGAGCTTTGAGGGAGTTTGCATATTCTCATTGTGCGTATGTGGGTTCTCCCTGGGTACTCTGGCTTCCTCCCACAGTCCACATTGGATTAGATTCATTGGCAGTTCTAAATTGTCTGTAGGTGTTGATGTGAGTGTGAATGGTTCTTGTCTTTGTGTTAGCTCTACAATGGACCGGCAGTCTTTCTAGGGTGTTCCCCGCTTTTCACCCTATGACAGCTGAGAGCCTTAATCGGATAAACAGAAGACACTGGATGGATGGAAATGTGCTTTAGGATAAACAGAATTTAATTGGTCCTTTTCTTTTATGTTTTGCTGGGTGTTAATTTTTCTTATTTTCTGACAAGTACTCAAATCGCACAAATTTGTGTGTTTGCTTGTTACTGAGGACAGTGGATGTCAAATGCTGTATAGGTCTCAAAGCCACTTGGGGAAACTTTGTCATTTGTGTATTGTTGTATTTATGAAAAGAAAAAAAAATTAGTCTTGTTGGAATTTGCGCCCAACTCTTCACATATGCTACAAAGTGATTGTCACACTGAGCCCCTGATTGAGAACATAGTTTAGGCTGTAAGTACCTGGAAGTAACTCATCAGCTCCATTGTTAGTACAACTCCCTCACGCACATATGTCTGTTTCAAAGTTTGCAAGATTAAACTTTAAGGGGCTCTAGAGAATCCATTACCAAACAAAGGAAATGCATGGAAAGACACGTGAAAACAACTCTCAGCGTCACTGGGACATATTTTTTAAGGGACTGTGGGAAAGATGCTACTATCAGTGAGTTTTTAACCTTTAAAAATATGAGATATCAATTTCCCCTATATGACACTACTCCCTGGGTTTTAAGGCGATTGCTTGAGATTTTACTCTTTATTAAAAATATATAAGGATGACTTATACATGCGTATTCAAGGCTCGCAGTAGCCTTATGTATTCTGTTTCAGCTTCATCTCCTTTAACTGTGATGTAGTTTCCTTTACTTTGACTTCATTTTCTCAGATAGCATTGTGGATCAAATGTAATTTCAAATGATATCCAGAATATCCTTCCCCTCTCCTCTCCCCACACCCCACCCCTTTAGCTTATCATTATGAGCTGGAATCACAACTTTTCCTTCCTTTCCTCCTCCTAAAGCTTTATCTACAGTCTACTACTCATTTTCTTCAGCTTTAATCACTGGCTCCTCATAGCTCTGCTGCATCTTATCCTCATGGACTTGATAACAATACTGTGCATTCAGTTTTTTGGCTTGTCTTTGCAGTCTATTGGTCCAAGGTATAGGTTGGTACTTCATAGAAAAGCTTATCATCCTTCACTTAATGCTGTATGATGTTTTAAAATATGTTTGTTGCTATAAAACAAATTAATTACACTTACAAAATGTGCACTTAAACCACACACTGGATCTTGGTGAATAAAATATTCAAGTTGAACACAGTGATTGGCACACATTGTGTTACTTCGTTTCGTCAGTGGAAATGAAAAATCGTCAAACCTTTGACGACTGCATTTGAAAACACACCAAAAATCAGAGTTAAAAATTGAAAACACATGCTGATACAACTTGTGTCATAATATGTGGCTCACTAGTGCATATGTTGTCTGTATACACTCCCAACAACAGCCTGATAAGATGACAGCTGGTGTCCTTGGGGTTCTCCTCCTGTTAGACCTGGAAAAGGCTGTTAGTGAACTCTGTGAAGCTATTTGGTGTCTTTGGATGCACTGACTCAGATTGTTCCAGAGATCCCCAATTTGATTCAGGTTTTGGGAAAGTGAGAGCCAGTCAGTGGTATCAGTGCGTTAATCAACCAGTAACCTGTACACTCTGGCCACAGTTGGCTGGAAATTGTCTTGAATTAGGAGAACCCAGGACTCATTGTACCAGCGTAAGGCCGGACGGTGAATCTGAGGTTTTCATCCCCATGCATAACAGCTGTCAGGGTACTGGTACTAACACATGGAGATCTGTGTGATCCTCCAAGGTTATGCTTACTTTGATCACTCAAGTTAAATGATATTGCAGGTAGCATAATGATTGGTACGCCATCTCCAGACTCTTTCCCATCTGTCACATCTGCTCAATGTGAGCCCGTTGTCATCTGTGAATAGAACAGGGTGCTAATGGCAGACCTGCCAGTTCTGGGGTTTCTCTGGCAAATGCCAATCAAGCTGAATGACACTAGTTTGAACACAGGCCTCATTACAGGAAGTCAGGCCCTCATGTCATGCTCAAGGACTCTGATTATCATAATTTGGTCAGAAACATGCAGAAGTAGCCCACTGGAGGTCTTTTTGTGGTATTCTGGCAGTGCTTCTTCTGTTCCTCCTACACAGAGGAGCAGATCCTGGTGCTGTGCTGATGATGGTTCCACGACCCGTCTCCTGGGATCTCCTTTACATTTTTGAGACTGTTCTGTGAGACACGGCAAACATCTTGCAGTGGCATGTATAAATGTGTCATCCTTGAGGAGCTGGACTTCTTGTGCAACCCAGGCTGCCGGAACGGTTTCAAGACACTAACAAAAAGCAAAGAGAAGAAAGAGATAAATCACCTAATAAGGATAAAGAGAGAGCCATAGATGATTGTTACCAAGTATAAAGTCGTTCCCTTTTTGGAGGTTGTGTTGTTGTTGTCTCTTCAGTGCCTCTGCTGTTGCCACTAGACTTCTCCAGTGGTTTATAGCAACATGTAATAGCAAACACCTAGATTACCCCAGTATAGTCCCCCGAGGATGATTCCTAACATTCCTGATCATTATTTAACCCTTTCTCTCCCGTAAACCTATACCCAATAGAAACTCATGGTCTTCTATAACTCGTTTACTTAATATTTTGCACAACCTTCTGATGGAGAGCGTAGCACCTTGCCAAGAGGATACTCATAAAGCAAGTATGCAATACAATCTGCTAATCAAGTTTCTTCTTCTAATGGAAAATGGTTTCAATTTAATGATGTTATCTCCTTTCATCATGTGCTACACTGAGGGCAAACCTTTATGATTTTAACCCCTTTATTGCATTTATTGAATTTCTATCCTTCTCTTTTGTATTGAAGTTTTTAATGAGCTTCTTTCAGGTCATCACAGTTTTAGCCTTGATATGGTTTATTTCCTATTTCCATCCTCCTTTGTCATTTTCAGTAATAATATATCACGTTGTCATAAGAAATATATTTCACACAGTGTTGACTTTGCGCTAAAATGAAACAATTGACAAAATAAAAACAAAGCATGGATTTAAGAAGCTGTTTTCTTAGCATTGATGCCCAGAGTAACACAACTCACCCAGGGTTGAATTCCCTTGACTGAATCTGCCCTTGGCATTGATCAACACCAATCTGGAAAGGACTGCATGACTAGCATAATGTGTTCATGTGTGCTCTCTCGTTAGCAGTCACTTACAGCCTGCCTGTTGTGTGCCGCCTTCTTTGGCTCCCTGGGCTCATCTTTCCTTTATGGCTACAACCTCTCTGTGGTCAACGCTCCTGCTCTGGTGAGTCAAACACTTGTTCTCAGCCTTTTTGCAGGGAACCACAAGTGATTTTGTATGTTTTCTTTGTGCGGTAATTAAACTTTTAGTACTCATCCATAAATATTGAATGGCAGTGCTAAAACCAGCTTCTAATAAAGGTACAATTGACAGAACTGTAGCTCTGCAGATACAGACACACCCCCCCCCCACCCCCCACCCATTAAGAAGAAATTGTTCAAAATGAACACAGTATATCGGACTCATAGACACTGTTGTAGTCAGGCTTATCCCCAGTACAGTGACCATTTACAGGTATTATACCGATACATAATACCTTTAGGTATACTTTTTATATATAGGTATTATTTCCATGTGATTGCAGGACAGTCCCAGGGGAGTGTCCTGCCAGATTAATGGTTTCACAGTTTGTTTGGGCAGCTGAGAGCAGGGGAGCCTAAACCTCCAGACCAAATACATATACTTATATTAAATATACTGTACATTACATTTTGGACAGGACTGAAAATCAGTGGCAATAGGTCTGATGAAAAAGTTGATCCATCATGCAGTATCATCTGGAAAGCATGTGACTGGCAGCAGCTTCATTTTTCAGTGGCCCGGTGGCGCCAGTGTCCGGCAGCCTCGCCTCTGTCAGTGCGCCCCAGGGTGGCTGTGGCTACAATGTAGCTTGCCATCACCAGTGTGTGAATGTGTGTGTGAATGGGTGGATGACTGGATATGTAAAGCGCTTTGGGGTCCTTAGGGACTAGTAAAGCGCTATATAAATACAGGCCATTTACCATTTACCATTAATTTTTCAGTATGACATCGATCCCAAACACACTGCCAATGCACTAAAAGCATACTTGGATAGAAAAATACACAGTGCAATACAATGAGTCACGAGTCTTCTTCGAGCTTGAACCTCAACAGCATTGAAGCAGTAAAGGTGGTCATACCAAATACTGACTTTCTAGCTTTTGTATGAAATGTATGGACTCTGTTTTTGCATTATATAATGTGTTTCTATGTATTTTTCAGTACTACAACTATTTCAAATTTTCCAGCAAAAAATATAAAGAAATGAGGGGTTGCTTTTGCAAAGTAATGTGTATCCGAAAAATACAACATGTGCAGCCAATGTTCTTGTAAGTTTACATTACATCTTCTTTGACTGGTGAAACAGAAACTGCATTTTTGAGTTCTGTACAAGTTCAATTATGTGGTGCCACTCGAATGGGAAACGTGTTTCAGAGGTCATGCTTTCCAATCAGGCTGTTTGTTTGTTCAGAGGTAATTAGGTGTCTCACAGGTTATATAATTAGTGTTCAAGCGCCACGACCTTCAGCTCTGCAGTTACACCTACACTAACAACTAATACTGCAGAAAACACAAAAAACATGATTTTATTTTTCATCGTAGTACAATTCCCAAGCTCAGATTAAGGAGCTGTAGTTTAGAAAGCTGATAAAAAGTGAATTCAGTCTACTTTATATTTTAAATTAAGCATAATATTATGTTTTACAGTGTACTTTCTGACAGTTCAGTGTAATTTCACATTTTGATACTGCTCTTAACAGTGTCCATATTTTAAAATAAATTTGAAAATAGATGATTGACCTTATATGGGAAGATTTTAACAGAACAGATTCATATGATGTATTTCTCAGTGTGCCTTCAGTAGATTATGAGTCCTCCAAACAAGCTTGAAAACAATATATAGGGGGTGGTAGTTGTACGCTTACCAAGAGCCTGCATATTTTGTCACAGTACCTCTCAAAAATAAGAGGCGCAAAAATGATAGCACAGTTTATGAACAATGCATTCTTTGTCTAAACAATGACAATAAGTTTCCCACTGTTTTTTATTTCAGAATGTAAAGTTTTGAAATGTTGTTTTCTTGTCAAGGACATCATGTTATTATGTTCTCTAGGACCTACTATCCAAGTGGATTATTCTTTAAATGCTGTACATGTATGATCTTCTACAAATCCTCCAAATTTCTTAGTGGCAGGCTATAACTGAAATTGCTTTGCTTTCATTAAAAAACATTATGGGCACCCTGGGTTTAGGCTGTGTGAGACTTTATAACAGGCTGGTTTTATTTGCATCTTAAGGGCTTCATTCCTAATGTTTCTAATTGTTCACTTCTCTATACTTGGTAGAACTCAACAAAACACAGCCTACATACTATTAAGGCTTTCCTTTTTAACAATTTGTTCAGAAATGTGATGATTTTATTTTATATTTTAAATTTATTTCACCGTTATTTGTACAAATGAACCTCACTGAGACACGGGTTCTCATTTTCAAGCGACCTACTGATTACTGCATGGAATTAGTAGGGTGTAAAATGCACTTAACAAAAAATAAATAAAAGAAAATTGAGAAGTAATTAAAAAAAAACAAGCAAACAAAAATTAACCTTCCAGATCTTCTTTGCACACAGTTCCACTCTGCACAACCCCAAAATCTGTTGCCTGGATATTTTGTTTTCTGCTTGGCTTAGCAAACTTAAAAGTCCCACCTACTGTTTAATCTGTATTTTGCAGCTAATTCTCCAGTTTACGTCGTTGTTGAGCCATTGCTTTTTTGTTTACTCCCCTTTATAGAATCTGCCCACCAGAAGCACCAGCTGATCATTTATGCAGCGCTGGCTCTCCTCCACCTCAGTAGGGCTCACCACTTCTCCTGCTGTCTTTACAAAAGCCGAACAGAATAAACCAACAAAAACGTTGAGTTGAATTAGGATAACACAACAGAAGGAATGTTACAGACAGAGTTCTCACTACATTTCAAAAAAGACCGAGTCGATCTCTTTAATAGTTCACTAAAGCCACAATCGTTTCTACACGCGGCACAAAAACCTATAAATGAACATTCAGCTTTCTCCACGCACAGCAGGGCCACCCCCAGCAGCGAGCTATCTTCAAATGTGGGCAAAGGAATATTATATGAAGTGTTAAAAATTCATTTCCATTGAACTCTAATAGGTTGAGCTATTGAGGTATCAGACATTAGATATGCAAGTAGACCACAAACCTCATCTTAGAGGAGAAGCATCAAAGTAGGGGCAAAAAACTATTTGCTACTCTTCATTCCACTTCCAGACAATGTCAAGATGATGGGAATTTACTCATTAATAATGTATAACTACCGTCATTTTCTGTAGACATCAAATTTACCCTGCTAAAGAAATCTTCACAAAGACATTTTCTTGGAGTTAACTGGGTGCACCAGTAACATCTTTGAATTAATGTGCATGATAGTGGCATGGCATTAATCTCCCCTCGACACAACACCTGTTATAAAAATGAAGGAGTCTTAATCATTATTTATGCAAACATTTCTTACGACAGCTTGACATTAACTGAGACAACATAACAACAGATCGACTCATGAACGGCTTCACTCTGATAGAAAACCAGTGAGTGTAAAATATTATATAGCCATGTCAAACAGATGTTGCCATGGTACAAAATCTAAAAATATTGATTGTGTTTTGTGGCTGTGATGCTGGTGAGAAATAACTGTTGAACACATGAATAACTGAACTCGGTGGATGTTTGCAGGGAGTGATGTGATGATGATGTGAAGTAATATCTTTGGTAATTATTAGGGGTGCAACGATACACAAAATTCACGGTTCGGTTCGGTTCGATACTTTGGTGTCACGGTTCGATATTTTTTCGATACAAAAAAAATGTTCATGCCTTTTTAATTTGTCATTTATTAAAATTATAAATATATATTTTAACTCAAAAGTACAGTTTTTAAATTTAACCCTAACCCTTGTGCGTGTTTTTTATTTTGACAGCGAATGCGCACCTGCGGACCACTTATGTGCAGCCCCGGTTATTTAGCTCATCATATTGCAGCCACAGAAATTATTTTGTCCATGAAACCATAAAGCTGCACTTTCTTTTTGCCTCATAGTCTGATTTGTCATAACTTCTCCGTTTTGTGGTAAGCTTTTCTTTGGCTGTCACTTCTTCAAATCAAATCAAATCAAATCACTTTTATTGTCACATCACATGTGCAGGCACACTGGCACAGCACATGCGAGTGAAATTCTTGTGTGCGAGCCCCACAAGCAACAGAGATGTGCAAACACAACAACACAAACGAGCAAAATACAAGAATGGCCAACCTGAACTAATAAATATATGTACAATATATAATAGTGTATGCATTTCTGGATGTGTATACTAAATATTTTCCTACGTGTGTGTGTGTGTGTATGTGTGTGTGTGTGTGTGTATACACATTTTTACAAATTAAATAGTAAAAAAAAATAAAAAATAAAAAATAAAATAATAATAATAATAATAAAATATATAAAATATACAGAGTTGAATATGTGCAAAACAAGTGGCATTTATATACAGTGTGGAGTGCATAATGTTGAAGTTCCAGTAGTGAAGCTGAGGTGTCTATGACGTGTTCAGCAGTCTGATGGCCTGATGGAAAAAGCTGTCTCTCAGTCTGCTGGTACGGGACCGGATGCTGCAGAACCTCCTTCCTGATGGAAGCAGTCTGAACAGTTTATGGCTGGGGTGACTGGAGTCCTTGATGATCCTCCCCGCTTTCCTCAGGCAGCGCTTCCTGTAGATGTCTTGGAGGGAGGGAAGCTCACCTCCAATTATCCGTTCAGAGCACCGCACTACTCGCTGGAGAGCTTTGCAGTTGTAGGCGGTGCTGTTGCCATACCAGGTGGTGATGCATCCAGTGAGGATGCTCTCAATGGCACAGTGATAGAAGGTCCTGAGGATGCGGGGGCTCATGCCGAATCTTTTCAGTCTCCTGAGAAAGAAGAGGCGCTGCTGCGCCTTCTTCACTGTTTTGTTTGTGTGTACTGACCACGTAAGATCCTCAGCCAGATGTACTCCAAGGAACCGGAAGCTGCTCACTCTCTCCACAGCAGCGCCGTTGATGGTGATGGGGGTGTGTACTTCTCTGCACCTCCGGAAGTCCACTATCAACTCCTTTGTCTTTGCGACGTTGAGGGTGAGATGGTTGTCTTGACACCAGTGGGTCAGGGCGCTGACCTCCTCCCTGTAAGCCGTCTCATCACCGTTGGTGATAAGACCCACCACTGTAGTGTCGTCCGCAAACTTCACAATGATGTTGGAGCTGTTAGTGGCTGTGCAGTCGTAGGTGTAGAGTGAGTACAGGAGAGGGCTCAGTACACACCCCTGTGGAGCACCAGTGTTCAGTGTGATGGGGGATGAGGTGATGCTGCCCAGTCTGACCACCTGGCGTCTGTCAGACAGGAAGCTAAGGATCCAGCTGCAGAGGGAGCTGCTCAGTCCTAGATCCTGCAGTTTCCTGTCCAGCTTCGAGGGAACGATGGTATTGAATGCTGAGCTGTAATCTACAAACAGCATTCTCACATACGTGTCTCTCTTCTCCAGGTGTGACAGGGCAGTGTGTAGTGTCAGGGCTATGGCATCATCAGTGAACCTGTTGTGGCGGTATGCAAACTGTAGAGGGTCCAGTGAGTCGGGTAGTGCAGAGCAGATGAAGTCCCTGACCAGCTTCTCGAAGCATTTGCTTACGATGGGGGTCAGGGCTACAGGTCGCCAGTCGTTCAATGAGGAGATGGTGGAGGATTTGGGTACAGGGACGATGGTGGCCATTTTGAAGCAGGCTGGGACTACAGACAGAGAGAGGGAAAGGTTGAAGATGTGCGTGAACACTCCAGCCAGCTGAGCCGCGCATGACCTGAGGACGCGGCCGGGAATCCCGTCCGGACCAGTAGCTTTGCGTGCGTTCACCTTCCTGAAGCACTTCCGCACATCCTCCTCAGACACAGTGTGCGCACTGACGTCATCCGCGGTGCGCACACTGTCCAGTCTCATGGTGTTCGCTGTGTCGAATCTAGCGTAGAATACGTTTAGATCCTCACACAGAGAGGCCGTGGTCTGCGGTGTGCTGGTTTTCCCTCTAAAGTCTGTGATCGTGTTTAGTCCCTGCCACATACTCCGAGGGTTGTCAAACTGTTGCTCCACCCTGTCCCTGTACTCACGTTTGGCTGCTTTGATCATCTTCCGGAGTTGGTAATGTGCGTGTTTGTAGTCCGATGTGTTCGCGGAGGCAAAGGCGGTGTTCCGTGCCGCCAGTGCCACGCGAACATCTCCGTTAATCCAGGGTTTTTGATTTGGGAAGGATTTGACTGTTCTGGATGGGACGACATCTTCCACGCATTTCCTGATAAATCCACAGACTGAGTCTGTGTATTCATCAATGTCTCTGGCGGCCACGTGAAACATTTCCCAGTCTGCGTGATCAAAACAGTCCCGCAGCGCAGACTCCGATTGGTCCGTCCAACAGTGCACCGCCCTCCGGGTTGGAGCTTCCTGTTTCAGCTTCTGCCTGTAGGCGGGCAGGAGCAGGATGGAGCAGTGATCTGATTGGCCGAATGGGGCGCGGGGGAGGGCTTTGTACGCATCCCGGAAAGAGGTGTAACAGTGGTCGAGTAGCCGGTTTCCACGTGTGTTGAAAAGGATGTGTTGATGGAGTTTTGGTGAGACTTTCTTCAGGTTTCCCTTATTAAAGTCTCCGGCTGTGATAAACGCTGCCTCTGGGTGTGCGGTTTCCTCGCTGCTGATCGCGCTGTACAGTTCCCTGAGTGCACGGTCAGTGTCGGCTTGTGGGGGAATGTAAACAGCCGTAATAATCACTGCTGTAAATTCCCTCGGTAGCCAGAATGGCCGGCACTTAATCATCAGGTACTCCAGGTCCGGTGAGCAGAAGGATTTGACCGGGTGCACGTTCGCATAATCACACCAGCTGTTGTTGATCATGAAACACACACCACCGCCTCTGCTTTTCCCAGTAAGATCCTGTGACCTGTCCGCGCGGTGCACAGAGAACCCCGGCAGTTGTATTGCGGAGTCCGGTACTTTGTCCGATAGCCAGGTTTCTGTGAGGCAGATCACGCAGCAGTCCCGCATCTCTCGCTGGAATGAGATCCGTGCCCGAAGCTCGCACAGCTTGTTCTCCAGAGACTGCATATTAGCCAGTAATAAACTGGGTAACGGTGGTCTGTAAGTGCGCCGTCTCAGTCGAACCAGAACGCCAGATCTTCTCCCTCTGCGTCGGCGTTTGCGGCCTCCAGGGCCAGAGAACAAAGGCGTCTCAGGTGAGATGAATGGGGGGTCTGCAAACGGAGCGTCCGTGTTGCAAAACTTGAACTCCGGAAAGTTATAAGAAAGACCGTCTTTTATGTCCAGTAAGGTTTGTCGGTCGTACACAAGGAGACAAGTGCTGCTCGTGAAAAAATAAAGGAAAAGTAAAATTAAACACAGAAGAAAGCCGTTGCTTGGGGGAGCTCGTGATGAGGCTGCCATACTCGGCGCCATCTTGAAACAACACCCTGACCTTCACCCTGACCTGTCTTATTTGGCTCAGCAGAACTAAAATATAAATCCTGCTGCTTTTACACACGGACTCACATAATGCTCAGCGATGCTCTGCGCGATCAACCTCTCACATGTTTAAGCTTGCTGCGGGAGATTTCACTTGTCATGTTTGCATAGTAAGCTAACGATTAATAAGACGATGTCAGAGGAATTGGTGCACAAAATATCATCACTCACAGATCAGTGCTGTCGTCTCTATACACAGTTCGCACGATTGCAAAGTGAAAGCAAAAAAACAAGCGCAAATTCAAACGCGATTTCAATATGTCACATATTGACAGTGGCTCACCGATGCCAATGACATAATTACCCAGCTACATTTCTGAAAGAATGCAAAAGCATTGACATATATTTTTCCTACAATAGCCCGACGGGCAGGGAAGAGATAGATTTTGGTAGCCCGACTGAAAAAATCGCTAGCCCCAGGACGTCGGGCTAGCGATATTGCGAGCCCTGTATCTGATTGAGGAATCACTCATCTTTGGAAAAGAGAGTTTATTACAGAGAAATGTCTCTTTCCAAAATAAAAGCTATACTATCCGCTTCTTCTGGGCTATATTCTCAGCAGCATAAGGAGAATCATGTGCTAACAGCTGTCTAAATGACTCGGCTAAAGTTAGTAGCATGCTTGTTGTTTTTGTCTTTGCACTAGGATGATGTCGGCGTAAATGTGCAGTCATATTCGTTGTGTTCCCACTAGTGCTTTCAGGTTAATCTCATTGAAATGACCTTAATGCCACAACACGGCAAATCTCTGTTAACGAGCTACCGCCGATCGCCCCGTGCATGGGGCTAGACGGCCAACACGTTAACGAGCTAACTGCGCTAACACACTAGTTCCCACCCATGTAATTGAGCATTGCGTGGCACATCCAACATACTGTTTTACTTTAGTCCATGACTCGCTTACCTTCAGGGTCATACGTCACATGAAAACCAAAATAATTCCAAACGCCAGATCTGAATGAGGGGGGGGGGTCCATGTTGCAAGGAAAGCTTAACTTCTGTCTTGCTAGCTTGCCCTGCGCTCTTCCTTCTGACTATGCTGTCTGTGTTGAGCGCTCAGTGGATCTGCGCTCCACAGTGCAGCCTAGGCGGAGTAGTCGAACGCAGATTCACTGAGCGCTCAACACAGACAGCATCGTCAGAAGGAAAGTTGATAAAATAAATTACAAATGTTGTATTGTTCATACATATGCGTACCGAACCGAAAGCACTGTATCGAACGGTTCAATATCGATACGAATATCGTTGCACCCCTAGTAATTATTTATCTATAGCACGTGACTTGGCTGATCTTCAGTAAAAGTAGCGATAAGGGTGATGAAAGCCCTGTAGAAACTGGTGTAACCTGTAAACCCCCCCCCCCTTTTCCTAGCGATAGAATTGTTTTCAGCAAATTTGAAGTGACATCAAAGGTCATTTTTCAGTCTTAAGTTAAGCAAAGCCGGCAATCATGCTCGTGATACATGATGCTTACAATGAGTAGCTCCTAAGCCAAAGCAAGCAATGACAGCAACTGTGTGACCACTGCCCTTCCTGACAGTGCTGAAGACAGGGAGGGCTTCAGCTTTGGTTTAACAGGAATTCAGTCGCAGTTGTTAAATGAAAGATCAAAAAGCTATAAGGCCCTTTGCTTTCTATGCAACCGACGTCTTCACGCTCAATGAAGACACTTTAGAATTCTCGTGGGTTGATACAAGTGCCGTAATAATTTAATGCGACGCATTCACTGACTCATTGTAGCCTGTGCTTCAACTTCTTAATGAAGTCACTCAGTTTGTTGCTATTACGCTATTTGCTATTTTTTAAAGTAAAGTTATACAAAACGTCAGACACTGTCCGTAAAAAGAATGCTATCGTGATGCTCCAGTCAAACTATCCAAATCTCAAACTTTTGATGTGATGATTGATTAGGTGTTTTACACGTCATTTATTCATTTTATTGGATACAAGGAGTCAATCAATCACGTATATGAACACATGAACAAATTTTAGATCGCATTAGGGCAGGTAGGTCAGAGAGAGATAAGAGTGTTTCACATGTGACAAACCTGAATACAGATGCAAAGAATAAACAATTCTTTTATGAAATCTGGAGCTATTCAATAAACATCCAGGGCCGCCCAGGGCTAATGACATGCCTGCATTAAGCCTGCTGAAATTAATTTATTTGCATATTGTGGAGACCAGATATAAAATCTTACCAATATTATTACTGGTATTAAAGCAAAATGTTTTCAGATCATATTGTTTAACAATCATTTCCTGGTAGTCCTTTTCTCCAGGCAAAGTTTAGGTCATAAAGTCAGATTGGAAATGTAAAAACACACTCATGATACATATGATATTCAGTAAACATGTGTTGGGGGTTTCTAGGTTTACATTTAAACTTTTTAAATATCAATGTTTTTTGTTTGTTTTCACCATTTATCCATATGAATAACACATTTAAAACATCTCTTTGTGTTCCTTTTGTATTGCAGTACATTAAAGCTTTCTACAATAAGACATGGATTGAGAGATATGGGGAGCCTATTTCAGCGGAGACGGTGACCCTCCTCTGGTCCGTCACAGTGTCCATATTTTCTATTGGAGGCCTTTTTGGAGCCCTGTCTGCCACGTTAATCATCAAAGTACTGGGCAGGTGAGAACACTGTTATGTGCTTACAATATCACTGGTAAGAAGTTTGCTTTTATATCCTTCACTCATCAGGGAATGGCGAACAGCAGTCATTTTGGTGCAAACGATTATGTTATGAGTGAATATGAACAACACTGTAGATCCTTTGGCTTCCTTTGTTGTGGGGAGCGGTCTCTCTGGATCGAGCTTGTTCTGGTGAATCCCACAAATGCTTGGTCGGATTGAAATCGAGGGACCGCAGGATAACACTGTGCTGCACAAACACAAGAAAGGGGAATTTTTGAAGTGTGGTGTGCTGCTGTTAGCAAGGGAAGAAAGAAACCACTAACCACTTGATCTGCAACAGTGCTTAGGCAGGTGGTAAATGACCTTGTTTGTGCACGAACTGTTGGCTTCTCAGTATGATGTTAATTTAACAAAATGATCCAACAAAATCATTGTGGTTTTAACACTGTGGCTCACCTCTCCAGCTGTGACTAAATAACAGTGATGTTAAATACAAACACAGACCCTTAAAGTGTACAAGTGTTATTTTTGTTCCTCGTGTCTCCCTTTTGGTACAAGGCTCCGTTAGACAACCAGTTCCTTTAAGTACAATAATGAATAATTTTAAATCTACTCTGTAGCAATCTCACTGTTGTCTTTAGCCTCCATTTACAATGATCAAGTACCAGTAAGTTTTTGTAATGGATTTAAGACATAAAAGACTGTCAGTGCACTGACTCCAAGGACATAAAAGGTATTGGTCTTTACTGACTTGCACTGGTTTGACAGCCTATATACTGCATGATGAGATCCAATCTCACAGCCAGCGTGATGCATTTAGCTTTAACTTTTGATCACCTATGTGTTGGACTGCAGAGCCACATGTCCTACTATCCTCAAGGGACACGTTCAGGCACTAACAAAATCACCTCAGGGCTATGAAATGATACGTCTTCTAAAGAATCTGTTATCCACTAATGACAAGAGTGTCACAGAGAGACTTATGAAGCTTTTACTCAGAGTCATTTCAGACAATTAAGATACCCTTGAGGTTCACCTTGGATTTCTCAGGTTGCGATCCTCACTGTGTTAATTAGGTTGAAGTGTATAATTCATTTTCCCTCCACATTCCCTGCTAGACGTGTGGGTCAGCTGGAAGTTTTACACAGAGTTTCGGAAAGGTTGAAATTCAGATGTCAGGGACAAGAGTTGAATATATATGTTAACTTAATGAGGACTCATGGAGCAATTGAAATGAAACACACTTCAAAGTATGCCAGGGAAGCCGAGGTAGGTTTAGTTTTAAAAAAAAAAATCAGTAGAGGTGTGTGGACATTTCACCACAGACATGAAAAGAGATTAATAAACATTTGTGGTCAACTGCACTGCTACATAAATGAGTGTATTTAAATTTTAGATTTAAATGTAGATTTAGACACAGCAAGAGAGAAAAGCCTTCATCTCAGAAACAAAACACGGCTGATTATCATGCTGCTGGTGTTGTGTGACTGATGTTGAAATACAAATGCTATAACTTACGAAATGTGCTGCTCTGAGAGCCTCAGTGGCGTTGTTAAGCATCTCACTTCAAAGATAGCAAAAATCAATAGGAAGAAAACATTTTTCTTTGACCCCTGACATTAAAAAAAGTACAGTTCAGACAAGACCTGAATGCGCACACACGGCAGACAGGCATGCTGAAGAAAAAAAGAAACTTGGTCAACAAAGGCTGGTAAAGTAAAAGTACGCAGATGAGCTGGAGATCACACGCAAATGGCCCGATGCTGGAGAACAAGGGAACCAGAGATGTTGGGTGGCCTGGTGGCAAGGCAGATAAACAGTGCTGCCCAGGTGCTGCAGACGGGGGATTAAAAAGAGACTACTCCAGGAGGCAGGACCTGCTGTGAAAGTGGAGCTCCATCAGGGCCATGCTAGAGGCTAATGGTTAAGATACAGCAGGGAACAGGTAGGAAGACCAAAGAAGAGATGAGGTCAAGACAAAGGCTGGAAACCAGAACAGTTGGACAACAGAAGAGGTTCAGCAGGCAGGACAGACAGATGCTCTTTGAAACGGGGGTCAGTTGTGACAGCTGATGCGACCTGGTGTAATCGTGTCCTGCATGGCTAGAGGCCGCACTAAATTCTGTTATATAATAAGTGATTGAGAACTGATTGTTACTTGTCAAGAAGAGGAACAGTTCCCACTGACTTGGTGCTTCTGGGAGCTTGGGTTAATTTTTATAGAATACTAGCAACTAGGGATAATGAAATAGTTTCAGATTCAGCGTAGTGTAAGAAACCTCCATTACAGAACTGATTTTTCTGTTGTGATGGCCTCAAATGTGTTCCTTTGAAACTATAAAAAGTTATTCAGCTATTCCATGATGTTAGCTTTTTAAAACTCGGCTATCTCTGATAGTTCTTGCTCTGCTAGTTTTTTGTTAGGTGAAGTTCTTTTCATCCCAGGTGAAGCACTATAGAAATTGAATTTAATGAGTTACATTTAGTTAATTTTTACATTTTTTTCATGTATTTTTCTTACTGACTTTAGAAAGGGGACCTTGCTGCTGAATAACAGCTTTGCTGTAATAGCTGCTGTGCTTCTGTCTCTGGGTGAAATGTCAAGATCTTTTGAGATGCTCATCATTGGACGACTCATTATGGGGGTGGATTCTGGTAAGAAATATGCTTTTATAATTTCCCACTCATCAGAGAGTGTAGAACATTCAATATAGAGCATAATGCTGTAGTGTAAGGGAGTACAAAGAAAATATTAATTCAGTTAATCATGTAAATTATGATGATATTTTTAAGTTTAATCTGGTTGACCTTATCAGAAAATGTTAATTACATACATCACCTCTTGTAGTGACGCTGGCTTTTTACTTACTTCTACGACTATGGGAATTCATTATCATCAGGTTATTCTAAAAGGTCCATGAAAAACCTCCAGTTAGTCCAAAATGCTGCAGTGAGAGTACTGGACATGGGCGAGGACAAAATACTGTATTTCTTCCATATTAACATCTCGAATAAACAGGACCCATCCATCCATCCATCCATCCATCCATCCATTCTCTTCCGCTTATCCTTTTCAGGGTCGCGGGGGGCGCTGGAGCCCATCCCAGCCGTCATAGGGCGAAAGGCGGGGTACACCCTGGACAGGTCGCCAGTCTGTCACAGGGCTAAACAGGACCCATCATACCTTATAGACTTGATAGTACCATATTATCCTAATAGAGCACTTTGCTCTCAGACTGGAGGCTTACTTCTGGTTCCTGGGCTGCAGGTCACTGCTGTAGTCCTTTCAGTCCCTGGGGTCACATCAGCTAAGATGTGCTTCTTGGTGTCAATCGTGCGAATCACTTGCATCAGGTTTGAATTGGTGTGAGATGTTCCCCCATCCTGAATCACATGAGTCATTAAGATGACTTGACTCAATGTGTGAGTGTGGGTAGAGTCGTCTGGAAAGGTATCTCAAGACTATGTTGCAGATAAATGGTGTCACAGGCCACGACCTCCACTCAGTGATGGTCATTCAAAGAGCACATCCAAGGTGATAGCACTATTAGAGGTCAAATACCTGGGACTTCCCATCTGGTGTTAGAACTGAAGAAGCCATTGTGTGTTTTAAATTCAATGATCACTGATTTCACATGTGCTAAAAAAGTGCTACCTCATAAAATGCAACTCAGTTTTGGTTTTAATAGTAGCTTGGTTATACCACAACGGAGAAATAGTAGCTACCTTTAAAAAAAATACACACATTTACAGAAGCGTGGGGTAACTTGTTTACAAATTGTAGTGTGTGGAAATTGATTTGTTTTTAAGTATTAACTTGTTCTTCAGTGTAGACCGTTTCTAATGCACAGACCATCAATACTAGTACCCATGACTGTGCCCCACAGTTCAAGACAGCCAACTGTGAAATGTGACTTGATGTTCAGTGTGTGTCAGTGCAGTGGAGCTGTTGGTGTGTCTGCACATTTATGTGGTAAAACAAAACAGACTTCGATACTGATAAAAACACCCCCAATGCTTTTAAAGACAGCTGATGCTTACAGATCCTAGATACGGCCAAGATACGTGAATGCATATTCCTCTACTATGTCAATACATACTGATGACAGGGGTGTCTACATAGACACGAATATATTGTTTTTAATAGGTTTTAATATATTGTTTGCTTGTTTCTTTCTGACAGGTATTGCTCTCAGTGCTCTCCCCATGTACCTGGGAGAAATTTCCCCAAAACACTTCAGAGGTATGATTGGCCAGTTCAACTCCATTCTAATCTGCTTAGGAGTGTTCACTGGGCAAGTGCTGGGGATGCCTGAGCTGCTGGGTCAGGTTAGTGGTTTAGGAGGCTATGAACGATTACATTTTGAAAGTGTGCTGTACAGGGAGTGCAGAATTATTAGGCAAATGAGTATTTTGTCCACATCATCCTCTTCATGCATGTTGTCTTACTCCAAGCTGTATAGGCTCGAAAGCCTACTACCAATTAAGCATATTAGGTGATGTGCATCTCTGTAATGAGAAGGGGTGTGGTCTAATGACATCAACACCCTATATCAGGTGTGCATAATTATTAGGCAACGTCCTTTCCTTTGGCAAAATGGGTCAAAAGGACTTGACAGGCTCAGAAAAGTCAAAAATAGTGAGATATCTTGCAGAGGGATGCAGCAGTCTCAAAATTGCAAAGCTTATGAAGCGTGATCATCGAACAATCAAGCGTTTCATTCAAAATAGTCAACAGGGTCGCAAGAAGTGTTTGGAAAAACCAAGGCGCAAAATAACTGCCCATGAACTGAGAAAAGTCAAGCGTGCAGCTGCCAAGATGCCACTTGCCACCAGTTTGGCCATATTTCAGAGCTGCAACATCACTGGAGCGCCCAAAAGCACAAGGTGTGCAATACTCAGAGACATGGCCAAGGTAAGAAAGGCTGAAAGACGACCACCACTGAACAAGACACACAAGCTGAAACGTCAAGACTGGGCCAAGAAATATCTCAAGACTGGTTTTTCTAAGGTTTTATGGACTGATGAAATGAGAGTGAGTCTTGATGGGCCAGATGGATGGGCCCGTGGCTGGATTGGTAAAGGGCAGAGAGCTCCAGTCCGACTCAGACGCCAGTGGAGGTGGAGTACTGGTTTGGGCTGGTATCATCAAAGATGAGCTTGTGGGGCCTTTTCGGGTTGAGGATGGAGTCAAGCTCAACTCCCAGTCCTACTGCCAGTTTCTGGAAGACACCTTCTTCAAGCAGTGGTACAGGAAGAAGTCTGCATCCTTCAAGAAAAACATGATTTTCATGCAGGACAATGCTCCATCACACGCGTCCAAGTACTCCACAGCGTGGCTGGCAAGAAAGGGTATAAAAGAAGAAAAACTAATGACATGGCCTCCTTGTTCACCTGATCTGAACCCCATTGAGAACCTGTGGTCCATCATCAAATGTGAGATTTACAAGGAGGGAAAACAGTACACCTCTCTGAACAGTGTCTGGGAGGCTGTGGTTGCTGCTGCACGCAATGTTGATGGTGAACAGATCAAAACACTGACAGAATCCATGGATGGCAGGCTTTTGAGTGTCCTTGCAAAGAAAGGTGGCTATATTGGTCGCTGATTTGTTTTTGTTTTGTTTTTGAATGTCAGAAATGTATATTTGTGAATGTGGAGATGTTATATTGGTTTCACTGGTAAAAATAAATAATTGAAATGGGTATATATTTGTTTTTTGTTAAGTTTCCTAATAATTATGCACAGTAATAGTCACCTGCACACACAGATATCCCCCTAAAATAGCTAAAACCAAAAACAAACTAAAAACTACTTCCAAAAACATTCAGCTTTGATATTAATGAGTTTTTTGGGTTCATTGAGAACATGGTTGTTGTTCAATAATAAAATTATTCCTCAAAAATACAACTTGCCTAATAATTCTGCACTCCCTGTATATGTCGTGTTGTTTTCTGTAAGAATGGTTTTGAGGCTGGAGAAATTTTAAATCAAGACAAGAAATTTGAGTTTAGTAAATGAAAAGTGGGCTAAACATAACCACCACATCACTCCAAGTTTTTAGTATATTGTCTGTGGAGAAGGTCTGTTGACTGTGGATGTCTGGTAGTGGTGGTGGGGAATTTCTTTATTATTTTTTCCCTTGACTGTAATAAAGTTTGCTCTCGAGTCACTGTCATAAACAAACTGCACTTAAAGGCATTTCAGCAAGCCCAAAGCCAGTGTGAGTGAGTGAGTGAGGAATCTGAATCAATAAATTATGCTAAAAGTCATATAAATTGGCACTTTAAGTAAAATGTGAACCTGTCATGACTTTGGTGATGCATTTAGATAAAGTACTATTCACCTATTGTGAGAGTCACTTGTCACTGGTTGAACTGGTTCCAGTCTTGGTTTACATTTTGTGTTTTGTTCTTAGCTGAATTTTTAGATTTTGACTTATTTATTATTCTAGTCTAATGTGAGACTTAGTTCTCACATTATTGATAAGATAAGATTTTATTGCTTATTTTTAATGTGGTAACCAGTTACATGTTCTATTTTGTCTTGTTTTGTCTTCTTTCCGGTGTATTGTTATATTTAATAGTAGTATTAGTAGTTTCCTCAGCTTGTGTCTTATTGTACCTTATTTCTGCATTCATGCCTCTGTCCCTCCGTGTTGCCTAGTCTCTGACATCTTAAGTTCTTGTGTTGGTGTTTGTTAGTTTCCTTTGGTTGTTTCCGGTTTTGCTTTGAAGCGTAGTTTTCTTTCATGTCTGCTGTCAGGTTTGCTTCCTTCCTGTCCTCTGATTCCCTGATTGTTTTCACCTGTTGTTAATTGCTTTCACTTGTGTCTCCCCGCTCATCTGCTCGTTGTCCCCAGTGACTTCTGAGTATTTATAATCTTGTCTGCTTTTTTGTCCTTTTTGTCAATGTGTGTGTGTGTGTGTGTGTGTGTGCAGCCAGCCCAATTTATTCTCTCTGGATTTTCATGTACCTCATGTTGTGGTTTTTGTTATTTTTTGTATCTTTTGCATCAGCTGTACTAAAGGCTCGCTGTCAGCTCATTCTTTTGTTTCTTGGATCCTGTTTGTTTCCTCTCCCCTGCCTGACAGGTTCCACTATATGTCTGACTTACAACATAAACCTATCAATATTAACTAGAAAAAACACTTTGAAAAAATACAGTACTTAATGAGTAGTAAAAAAATTTATTTTATCACCGATAGCTCACAAATTGTTCATATTTTGTTCATATTTGGCATGTTTAGTTCACACACTGAGAGGAACCAGCACATCAGTTTAAACTTTGGTAAAGACAGTGAAAAAGTCAAATCTTTTCCGTCCGGACTGGACAATGCCAAGATCAAATGCACCCAGACAACCTGGCTGCTGGGGAGTTTCTAGTATTTCAATGTTGAAAGCAAAAACGAAATTCTCTATAACTGCATGTAGCAAGGAGACTATCCCAACTAACAAAGGATGAGAGACACATTACACCCTGGACAGGTTGCCAGTGTGTTGCAGGGCTAACACAGAGCAACAACTATTCAGACTCACATTCACACCTATGAGCAATTTAGAACCTGGAGTGAACCCCTCCTAGGACCTGGTGTCCACATATGTGGACATCACATTTTGGGTTGTCTAGACCGAAATTTCTTTGTGCCTCTCACGTCTGTGTGTGACCTTGGTGACTAGGTGGCATTAAGGTGAGAATTAACCACCAGCGTTTAAATGTCAATGTAACACTGGTGGTGCAATACTAGTAGTGAGCATGTAAGACCTGTTAGTGCTACTTCTTGCCATCTTTGGATGTAGTACGGGCAGAATAGTTACCTTTAACCACAGTATGAGGACAGAAGGGAAATATCGGCCAGATCAGACAGGTTCTACAGGGTGGGCCATTTATATGGATACACCGTAATAACATGGGAATGGTTGGTGATATTAAAGTCCTGTTTGTGGCACATTAGTATATGTGAGGGGGAAAACTCCTCAAGATGGGTGGTGACCATGGTGGCCATTTGGAAGTCGTCCATCTTGAATACAACTTTTGTTTTTTCAATGGGAAGAGGGCCATGTGACACATCAAACTTATTGGTAATGTCACAAGAAAAACAATGGTGTGCTTGGTTTCAACATAACCTATATGAAATCATTCTTTTTTAAACAAAACTCAAAACAGAGCCAATTAATCTTTCAGTCATTTCAAACCCCCCCAATCCCACATGCATACTATCCTTTAGGGCTAAGCCCCGGGTGTATCAAATGTCTGCCTCCGCCTCTGCTCTGGAATACAGTATCACTCTTATTATTCTCGCCGGAGAAAGGACTTTCACTATCCAGCTAGCTTCTTCGCCGCACGGGTAAACGGATCTTTGATCGTCTGTGTCTCTGGCGTATCTGACTGGCACACGAAGGCACACACAGGTGTCTAAGCAGCGCACACAGACAGGGGAGGGTCAGACCGGCCAATGATTGGTCGCTCAGTGGATCTAACAAACACACTCTAAAGGACTAAGTCCTGCCCCCACACCATTTAAATATTACATATACATATGTACATATTAATTAAACTTATGTTTACATGCTTTTTATCAGTATTTATTATAATTAACTTTGTTTTTATCAATTTTTATTCCCATTGTGAGAGTATGAATATTTATACTTTTAATCCCGTTTTTAACACCGGGTTACATCAAGGTCGTTCTATTAGTCAGTCGTACTGATGACGCCTCAGTGGCAGACTTCTTCGCTCTACAGCTTCAGCATAGCAGAAAATTTCATTTTGACTTGATATTCAAGCATGAAGTCATACTGAAGGAAAAAGTTCCAACTCTGCTCACACTATTACTCCTCCCTTTCTAAGGCTGGCTGAAAGCGCTTTGGCCATGAGCAATGGCTTCCTCTGCCACTTGAGCAACAAACTCCCGTTTTTACCCTTCACGCTATCTGATTGGTTCTATCGGTTCCTTATTTCAATAGGCTATTTAGTAGGAGTTCTCAGACACACCTTGTTTACCCTTGAGGAAATATTATTCATTTTATCCTTTCTCACCTCACTGCTCACTGTGCACAACTTTAGCCATGTTGACTTGGTCTGCTGCTGGAATGTTTTTATAACAGATTATTTATGTGCTAGATTTTCAGTTTATCTGTTGGGGCTGGAAACAGACATTAGCCTAAGGCACAGATGCTTTGAAAGCCAAAATCAGTTGTGTAATATGAACAGAAAGCCAATAATCTAAGTGCTCTACTCCTGGCAAAATTTATTGACATTAGATCACTGCTTGCTTTGGCATCATATTAAAACAGGAATAATAATGGAATATGTTTTCCCAGAATTGCT